GACGACCGGTGGCTGTGTCTGTATAAGCTGCATGTCTTTCGCGGCCAGGGAACGTAGTGGTGACACTTCGGTCCTGGAGTTTACCGACATCTGCTAGGTTCCTGGCGAACGAGAGGATGTGCAAACCAGTGAGGGAGCCGGATGGGATGGCTGGACAGGGGAGAGTGGTGGTGCTATATGCAGCAGCTGTAGTAGAGGAGTCTGCTAGTGCAACGTGGACAGGCACAGGAAATGGGGTAAGAGCAGTACTGTCTCGAAAGAAGCAATGAGACGCACCCGAGTCTAGGATAAAGAAGAGAGCCGACGTGGCGGGGCCCAATAAAGAATCTCTAACAAATCCTATGCCTGATGTAGCAAGGGAGTCTACGCTTGACGCAGTAGGGGATCCTAGACTACACACAGTAGTGCCTCCTAGGCTACAAACAGCATAATAATAAGAACCAGCAGTACTAGAGTGATCAGAATAGAAAGACTACAAGGCATGATCTATCTGAATCATATCCATATCAAAAATAGGAACCCGACAACAAATCAAGGTAGGCCACACGGGTTCATGCACCAGCAAGCCGAACTGACGGCGGTAGAGGTCGTCGAGGCGGCAGAAGCAGCGGGCGGGAGTGTGGCCCTGGCGCAAGCAGACCTGGCCCACCTTGGGGCCGGTCAACAGCCACTACGTGCAGGTTACCGCGCCAATAGGATCACTAGCATCCTGGCTCACAGTAGAGCCACGCGCCCCCCAGGGCACCAACTGCCCCGGGGCCCAACCTCCATGGCCACCACCACAGCCACCACTTCAAAGCCTGCCAACCCCCACGGCAGCTGCTGCTGCGGTCATTGCTGCTGCTTCTGTGCAGCTCCAGACTCCGACTGACTACCCTCTCCATCTACACCTGCTGCTGCCGACCCCCCATGGCCCTTGCCTCCCTTGCTCTAACCTCTACTGCCAGAGGAGTGGCTTGGGGCGGAGGCAGCCACTGCAGTCTCGTCGACAGAGGCGGCGGAGGTAGGGACAGTCAACTGGAAGGGAGCACCGCCCTGGAAGATAGGGACCGCTGGCGCACCAGTGGAATCAGCGATGGCACGGAGGCGGTCCTCTACCCCAGTCAGGAAGGTAGAGAAGAGGTCAAAGTGGAGCTCAGAGGGGTGGCGAGCAAGGAGCGCATCGCGGGCAAGTGCAAGGCGGCCAGGGTGGTGGGTGACAAGGAAGTAGATAGTGGTGTAGAGGGGGGGCGGGGCAAGAGCAGGCCTCAGTACAGGCCGCATGCCAGCGGGCCTCGAGTGAAAGCAGATGCTTGACTAAGTCTGCTGCAGTGGCGAAGAAAGTTGGGTCAGAGTGGAAGAAAGGTCAAGAGTGGCAAACGACAAGGTGGAAACGGTCAAGAGTGGCAAACGACAAGGTGGAGTCCCTAGCAAGGATAGCCATCCAAGGGGCGCGGGCTGACGCAGTACCCACAAAGTGAGAGTGCTCGTCAAACGCCAGGCACCTGAGGATGGCGACACGAGCAATGGCGTCGTGGGAAGCCCAGACCGAGTAGGCAGTACGGGCAGCAGCGTGTGCAGCCTGCTGCATGGAAGTCGTGTCAGTAACGAGAGCGCCCAGACGGGGAGGCTGAAGGATCTCACCAGAGATGTGGGTGTCGAGGGACTCGTTGTCGACGCGCTAACTTGTGAGCTGCAGGAGAACTGTCTCCTGCCAGGCGGCAAAACCGACTGCCTGCCCCTCCCCATCCAGACGGAGAACGAAGACGCTGCTGGTCGCCGACATGCTGGCCGCTGAGGTGGCAGTTGCGGCTGAGAAGGCGGAGGCAGCAGATGCAGAGACAGCGGCGGCAGCGACGACAGAGGCAGCAGTGACGGGTGCTGAAGTGGGAGCCAGTGGTAGCAGCTGCTGCTAGCGGGCGGCAGGCCAGCGGCAAGCTGGCAAGTGGCAGCGGCAGGGCGGCTGCTGGTGAGCGGCAGCGGTGGCAAGAGTGGTGGTAGGAGCGGCTGCAGTGGCAGCGACAACAACAACTGGCACGAGGAGCAGCTGTAGCAAGGGCCGCGCGGCAGGAGCTGTAGTAGCGGCAGGAGCCATAGTAGCAGCAGCAGGAGCGGCGGCCGCAGTGGCAGCGGCTACAGTAATAGGAGTAGCAGCAGCGGCAGCGGCGAGCCAGCGGCAAGCAGGCTGGCTGCTACTGGCGGCTGCGAGCTGGCTGGCGACCGCTAGCGGTTGATGGTTGGCGCTGAAGGCTTGCGCTAGTACTGACAGCTGGCCGCTAGTGCTGGCACTGACGGCTGGCGGCAAGGGCAGCTGGCGCTGCAGGCAGCGGGCCAGTGCAGCTGCAGTATTGACGGCTGCAGCTGTAGGAGCGGCGGCAGGAGCAGCGGGAGGAGCGGCTGCAGCGCCTGCAATGGCAGTGGCAACAGCGGGAGGAGCTGGGGCAATGGCAGTTGCAGCGGCAGTTGCAGCAGTGGGAGGAGCAGCGGCAGCGGCAAGAGCAGTGGCAGCGGTGGCTGCAGCGGTAGCGGCGGCAGCAAGAGGAGCAGCTGCAGCAAGTGCTACAGCGGCAGTAGCAGTAGCGGGAGGGGCGGTTGCTGGCGGCTCCTAGATGGCAGGCCAGCGGCCAGCTTGCTGGGGGTTGCTGGCAAGCTGCTGGCTGGCACTGGCGAGCTGGTGCTTGCAACTAGCAGCTAGTTGGCACGTGCTGGCTGATGCAGGCTAGCTGGCGCTGGCGAGCTGGCGCTGGTGAGCTGGTGTTGGCGGGCTAATGCGGGCGAGCTGGCGCTGGCGAGCTGGCGGGCTGGCTGGCACTGGTGAGCTGGCGCGGGCTAGAGCTGGTCGGCGACAAGGACTCGCGGGGCGCGGGAGGGAGAGGCGAGCTACGAACGAGCGGGGGGAGGAGGGAAACTAGTGACTAACGAAGGCGCCAGCTGGTGCGGGCTGGCGGCGGCTGGCACTGGTCGGCACTAGCTGGTGGCGGTTGACGTTAGCTGACGCGAACGATGTGACGAGTAGGGGAGGGCGGGGAGGGGATAAGCTACGAGGCGCGCAACTAGGGGCGAGGCGCGCTAGGATAGGGTGTGCTAGGGCGGAAGGGTGAGTAGAGGGCGAGACGTAGCTTTAGATGCCATGTTAGATGGTCAAAAATAGGGCTGTACACTTTAAGAACTGACCTAACTAAGGCTATAACAAATGTAGCCTAGATAAATATATTTGTTAACACACTTACCCGCTACTTAACAAGCCCCTTGTAACGCAGTGGTTTGTAGCTGAGCTTTGATATGGTATCAGAGCCAGGATACTCGGTTAATTCCCAGTGGGCACCACTTCCAGCAGTGCCCACTGAGTTCTGACATGATATCAGAGCCAGCAGTGCTAGAACAGTAAAATTTACTTCATGCTACCTACCTCTGTGGTTCAGCGAACAGTAAAAGTGCGACGAGAACAGTAATTTTGGAGCGAACTTTGCCGGATTTCGCAATCAAGTGATAACAGACCTGGAAATTACTTGAAAAATGCCCCTGAATTCCCTAGTCGCAAGCCGCTCACCCAAACCCGTCATAGGCCCCTCCGTGCGATATGCACGATGTTTTGAGGGGATCGCATTATAATAATCGTGTCACAACATAAACCGAATCGATATTTTTTCGTCATTCCTCCTATCAGCATGCTCAACTAGAATTCGTCTCAGTTCAGTTTTCTAGCCCAAAAAAAGCAGGTTTTAACTCAAACCTTCCTTCCTTTCTATGCTTCAATGCACCCCACCAAATTCAAGTGGTTTCCAGGTCTGCTATTTCAGTCGCGAGCTTTAACAAGCTCAGCGGTTAATGACTGGGTTATGACATTAAAGTCGTCGTGGATGTGTCTCGCAAGAGTTGTACCAAGGCACGTAGGATAAGGTAGCATTTGACATCCATGCTGGTTTGGTTAGATCTCGTTTTCGCCATAGTTGGGTGTTCTTAGGCAATGATAAGGTTTCCCAATACATTAATGCAATATCAGGGTGCTGCTTCTGATATATTCCACAAGCGAATATATTCCCAGTGTCCTTGTGGACTAATGGAATCCTCTACAAGGGGCAAAAATACAATTATTTCCTAGAGTATGCCATTACATAATGATACCATAATCTGCATAGCTTGAAACACATACATTCCAGTTTTAAAAAGGACAGCGAAGGACTTTTTATGCAATTCAATACTGTTGGTCGGTGCTATTGACGCGGCTTGGTGATGCCTTGTCTGTTCGTGGTGGAACTTGTGGGCTTCTGCTTTGGTCGAAAGAAATGTCTCCAGGAGTAAAACCCGAACGGAACGTATATATCACAGGGCAAATATATGACGCTGTAGTGAAGGCATCTCTAACATTCTGTCCAGAAGGAGACGTATTTCTAGCTTGTTCTGCAATGTTCCCACCCTGCAGCATATCTTTCAGCTGACCTGCTAATTCTGATCGAGCAAAAACAAGAGAGCAGAACTTGCGGCAACGGTCGTTGATGACGTGTCAATTGCGGTGGGTCGTAACAGTCGCATGAGCGATCTAAACTACGTAGCGCCTCGCTGCTGTGCCACTCATCCAAGTTCCAGACCCACCATTGAATGAAGCCTAGTCTAATTATACAGGTTTCTCCTCGACTATGAATTATTATCTACAAACCTTCCAAAATGTTTACAAATGTCAAGCTCCAATGTACCGAGTGGCGATTTCAGTTCGGCGTTTCAGAATACCTAAACCACCCCGGCTTTGGGAATCGACTTCAGGCAGGGATGCCCCCCAAAATAGTATATCAACGTTACCACGCCCACACGAAATGCTCGGAGGTGTGTACGCCAAACCGCCAGACAGCGAAATATCGCGGCAGGAGAAATGACATGACAAGACGACAAAAGAGCAGCCCGCCTCCAAGGACTAGGAAGGAAGCTGAACCCACCACCAGCCGGAGCTGGAGGTTTTGGTATAGTCACGCTGAGCTGAGCTAACAGTATAGTTGTTGTTACTTTAGTAGGTCACAAAACCTATGACCACTTTCACCAGTACTATGGACGGAATTCACAGCCGCCATGAGGAGACAGATCGCCCAGCGACGAGAGTCGAGCATCACGCACTGAATTCCGCCGCGGCTTCTCACCAGTCCGATTTGAGGAGCTTTCCGCCGCCGGCGGAAGTTGTTGCCTCGGAGTCGGAAATGTCCTGGGTTGCTGGCGTGTGCGAACTAACCCCCGTGAAGTGCGTCAAAACAAGGCCGCTTCAAGACGTCCTTCGCGACGCTAGCAGAATCGCTATTGCTACTACTAGTAGAAGGCGGCGTTCGCTGGAGAAACGGCCATTTCAGCTAAGAAAAGGTCTGTCCTGCCAAGGCCGCGAATCCGCCAAACGGCAACGCGGGATAGTAAAGAAGCAGCATTCCCAGTGGGAGGAAAGGGCGGGCGATCTTGAAGATCTTGAAGATCTAAATGGGCTGGCAGGTGACGATGATGACGTTAGAGATGACTCAAGCAGCTCGAAGCTCTCCTTGCGTGGTCAACAAGAATGCCAAAGGATGGGCAACCTCAAGGCACTAAGCGCCATACCTACGCCGCCTGGACGTCACAAGGTACCTACCCAGTTAGTGACTGGTTCCCATGGGACCCATGGGAGGGGCTGCATATCTTCCTTCCCCTCGCCTACTAGTACCCTCCCCACTCCTCTCACCGCCTCCACACACCCACCCTTCCGCCACCCTTCCCCGCCCTTGCCCAGCTTGCCCCCTCCCCTCGTTGTCCTGGTGCCACTTTTGTTCCTCGGTCTTTTGTATTACTTCCCTGCCTTTATTTCTTTGAATTCTTCCCTTTGCACTCATATCAAATCTCTCTTCCTGTTGCTGCTCCTATCCCTTCTTTAGAGTGGAGGCCCGTTTATCTTTGAATTTGCTTTACGTCGCCTACTTATTGCCCGTTTTACAACTTCCTTCCTGCACTTGTCCCTTCTTGTAGGCTACATGTGAGTCTTCACACCCCCCCCCTCCCCCCCCCCCCCCCCCCCCCCCCCCCCCCCGCCGCCCCCTTATTTTCTCCTCTTTCTTTATTTTTGTTCTGTATGTCTGTAAACCCTAGTATGTCTGTAAACTAGTATGTCAGTGAAACTTGCAAGTTCTTCTGTTCTTTCCCTGCCACATCCTTCCCCACCACTTGGCAGGTTCAGACTTTTGAGGCGCCTAGTGTTTTTATTTTTTTAGGTGCCTCAAAAGTTTTCTGTCCTTTCTTTCCCTGCCTCCTTCTTCCTCACCACTTGGCAGGTTCAGAGCAAAGAAATAGAAGCATCACACTTGCTGAAGCCCTTGAAGGCACCAAGCAGCACCAGACTTGAAACTAAAGGGGTTTTCATCGAAACTGGCGAAAGGAGTGGCAGCAAACGGCAGAGGTTGGGAGCAGCCTCAATGCGCAACACTCAAGACGGGGAGCTTGAAACTCAAGATCCAAGCACTGCTGAAAGAGGTGCCGCGTATCGTGCTGCCAAGCAGGAGCAGGAAAGCAGTGACGAGTCCCTGTCGGCGAGAGAGCGGAGGAGAGGCGCAGAGCCAGGCGAGCCGGAGGTCTGCTCCACTTTCCAGAGTGTCTCCAAATCCTCTAAACAGGCCTCTCAATCCTCTCCAAGTACGCTGAAGGATTGTATGCATGGCTGCGGTAGCCCTACAAATGCCATTGACATTGACACTAACGTTGGCATTGGCAGTCGTAGGCCGACAACGAATATGGGAAGGGGTGGCGGCAGCGGCAGGGACAGTGGCAGTGGCAGTGGCAGCGGAAATAGTCGTGAACGAGCAGAAGAGGATGGGGACGGAGCGGAGGCAAGTGTGACAGCTGGGGTAGGCAAAAAGGAGGGTGAGAAAGATGGAGCGGAGGGCAACGCAGGTGATCGTACCAAGGGTCGTGGTGGGAATTGTGAGGACGGAATGGAAGGCGTTGGTGGTGTGCATGCTGTACTACATCCAGCCAGTGATGCAGCAGAGGACAACGCAGGTGATTGTACCAGGGATCGCGGTGGGAGGAATTGTGAGGCAGAGGACAACGCAAAAAAGGGCGCTGGGCTGAAAAAGAATTGCCAGGCTGTATTGTATCTAGTCAGTGATGCAGCAGAGGTCAGTCAGGGTGGCACATATGTTATTAAGCCTGTGGTGGGTACGAGGGATGTAGATAGAAACGGTGAAGTGCCAAGTGCAGGGAGGGGAGCAGGACATGCCAAGTCCACAGCAAATGGTGGGATTAAGAGGGGTATTGCTGGTGAGGGGGACGTTGGTGATGGGGGCAATGGTAAGGGGGACGCTGGTAAGGGGGACGCTGGTAATGGGGATGCTGGTAAGGGGGACGCTGGTATGGGGGCGCTGGTAAGGGGGATGCTGATATGGGGGATGCTGGTAAGGGGGATGCTGATATGGGGGGCGCTGGTAAGGGGGATGCTGATATGGGGGGCGCTGGTAAGGGGGATGCTGATATGGGGGGCGCTGGTAAGGGGGATGCTGATATGGTTAATGCTGATATGGGGGATGCTGGTATGGGAGCTGATGGAAATGCTGCTATTGGGGAAGTGAAGAAGGCTGAAGATGAGGCAGGGGAACGGGGGGCACCGACAGGGGATGCGTTGGTCAGGGGACCGCTGAGACAGGGGCTGATGAGAACGCTGCTTTTGGGGAAGTGAAGAAGGCTGAAGTTGAGGCGGCAAGGGCCAGGGCTGGAGATCTGCGAGTGGGAGTCAAGAGAATGGCTGCACAGACCTTTGAGTCCACTCAAAAGTTTGTTGGGGAAGTGAGGAAGGCTGAAGATGAGGTGGCAAGGACCAGCCGGGCTGGAGCTTTGCACGTGGGAGTGGAGGGTATGATTGTGCCGACCTTTGACCTCAACTGCATTCCCTCTGGCTGCAGCAGCGATGGCGACTGTGAGGGCGCTGGGGATGGTGGCGGGGACGGTGATAGTGGGGGCGTGATGGTGGTGGTGGTGAATTTGGCTTTGCTGTGGGATATTTGGGACATAGGCTGCTTCAGAGGCAGAAACAGACGCAGAAAAAGCAGGAGAAGCAGCAGCAGCAGCAGCAGCAGCAGAAGCAGCAGCAGCAGCAGCAGCAGCAGCAGCAGCAGCAGCAGCAGCAGCAGGTGCTGGAGAATGGAAGTACCAGCCGACTAGCGATAGGTCCGAATGATTCCGCTGCAGCAACACTCGTTATCGCAGCAAAAGAATCCAAGGTACGGCAACAAGAACGTCCCACCCTCCCTGACCCCAGCTCTTTTGGCACCTGCCATGCCTCTTCAGGGGATTCTTCAGGAGGGCCTTCAGGAGATTTTGTTTCTAGAGGCACCTAATGGTGCTGAAATCACCATCCGACCACAACCCACCACCCCTCCACAACCTAAGGTGCCACATGGACTGCTGTCAAATCCGAACCGTTTTCGCTTGCATCCTCACCAACGGTTTGAGCTCCTGCATACCATGAGGCAACCCTACCCCCAGCCACACCAGCAGCCCCACCAGCAACCCCACCAGCAACCCAACAGCAACCCCACCAGCAACCCTGTCACCAGCTATACCAGTACCCTCAGCATTCAGTCAACCAGCAATTGTCCCAACAACCCCAGCAGGAGCCCGACCAGCAGCTATACCAACTCCCTCACCATTCAACCAGCGAACAACTCTCCCAACAACCCCACCGGCAACCCCAGCAGCAACCCCAGCAGCATCCCCACCAGCATCCCCACCAGCATCCTCACCAGCAAACCCCACCAGCAACCCCACCAGCAACCACTCCACCTGCAGCCCTCCCACCAGCCCTCTCAGCAGTTCTTCCTGCAACCTCAGCTCCAGTCCAACCAGCAACATCAGTTCCATTCAGACCAGCATATTTTTCAACAACCCAGACTGCAGACATGCAATCAAGAACCGTAATACAACCTCCTGCCAATCCTGTCATGCCAAGTGTACCATTCTCAATGCTACTGGCCCATGTTTTCATGTACCTGCTACCATTGCTGGCCCGTCTTTCCCATGCCTTCGCCCTAGCGATGGCATCCCCTGCTACCCTGTCAAAAGAGACCCCTGATATTGTTCATGGTGACCCGATAAACTTACTATCCTCTATTCGACGAAAACTCGAGCCGTTTGGAATCTCTTGCTGACTCTTGCTGACGCTATTTAACTTGATCCTGTAGGGTATTACCTTCAACTTGAATATATTGTACATATACGGTACTAGCATCATATGCATATTTGCTGTGCCAATTACATTAACAGAAAACCTCAGATATTTGTGACAAAACCAACCTACTCTACAGCAAAACATGCAGCGAAGCGAGAACACATTCATTCATTGCAGCTCGCCTACGAAAAACGTTGCCACACCATTCTTTACGGGAAGCTTGACATATATGTCCCCTACCGCATGTTTAAAGCACAGGTTAAAAAAAACACCACACCATACTATCAAATTATATTTATTTATTTATTTATTTATTTATTTATATATATGTGTAGGCTTGGTAGATGTGCTACATTTTAGGATCCTACTGTAGAGTGGACAACCCCCCCTTCTTGTATCTCTTCCTCTTCTAGTCCAAACCCCTTTATCTCTCGTAACTCCTCCCCCCTAGCTAAACCTCTCGACATTCTCCCTATGCCTAGATAGTTCCTATGCTTATCTCCTTTCGACATGGTACCAGAGCAGGCCGATCTTGCCTGTCATCACGCTTCCGCAGCGTCCTCTCGCCCCTCCGTCACTTATGCGCCGCTGTGGCGGCCATGTCGTGCTGACACGGCGGCCTTTATGCGCTGCCGTGGCAGCCCCGACGCGCTGCCGTGGCGGCGTCGACGGCGCCAGCGCACGGACGGCAGCGGCCAGCACCCGGTTTTAGCACCGTCCAGCTCGCCCGCATGCCAGTAAGCGCCGCACCAGCCATGGCGCCTCACTGAAGATTCGCCCCCCCCCCCCCCTACCCCTCCTCTGCCTTTCCCCTCCTCCCCGCCGCAGCTGCTGGAGGCCTCGTGCCGTCCTCCCCCGTCGTCGCAGTGTGAGCCACGCCGCCGAGTGCCTCGGGCGCTGCCGCCGGGTGCCTCGACGCCGCCGCCGCAGGTGCTGCAGGCCTTGCTGCCGCGGCAGGTGCTGCAGGCCTTGCCGCCGCCGCCACCGCAGTCGCCGCCGCCGCTGTGACCCGCCGTCGACGTCGCCACCTCTCGATTGCCGAGGGGTCGACCGGCTGGTTGACGCCACAGCTGCTGCAGGGCATGGGGGTGCAAGGATATGGGGGTGCTGCGTGTGGGGTGGGCTTGCCACTACCAAGCCTAGGGGGTGTCTCAAACTATATATTTATATATATCTATATACGTGTAGGCTTGGTAGATGTGCTATGTTACTGGATCCTACTGTAGAGGGGACAACCCCCCCTTCTTGTATCTCTTCCTCTTCTAGTCCAACCCCCTTTATCTCTCGTAACTCTTCCCCCTAGC